TCCCAAGAGAATGAATTGGTGGATCCTTTCCATATAATCTGGCTGCCACTTCCTGGACATGGCAACAACTTCAACTACATATGCCCCCTTCTGCCCTGGAAGTGTGGAGCATTAGATGCTTCTTTGTGTGTGTTTTGGCATGGACTGAACACTCAATGTTCAACCCACAATGAGATGGTACAGCGCCTTACCTACTTTGAGTGGTACCAGTGCATTTGTTTGGGTATTACCCTCGCAGAGGCTCAGGATTCCACTATAGTGGATTGTGGCTGCACACTACCCCACCCATATCAGGGCTGCAACATGTGAGTGGTCTTCTGGTTGATTTATTGTTTTGGCTTGGTGCTACTGCTGTGATGTAGTCTCTAGAACTGACACTTCAGCGTAGCACTAAGATTGTAACAAGTCAATTGTTAATCATCATTTTGTTTTACCGGTCATTGTGCAGATCAGTGTATGCAAACCAAGCCAGCATTCTTTGATTTTTAACAAAGGTGTATTTGAAAGTTTGTACTGTTTCCTCAAATTTCTGTTTATAATTGTGAAGCTGAATAATGGGCACATAATTTTTTGGTTTAACTTTGTTTTGGTTGCTTCTTCTTCTAACAGACCTTCACTACAGAACTCCTGATTAGTAAAAGTATACCTTCATTAAGGCCAGGAGTGAACACTGAACCTTGTCTGATTTCGCACTGAAACCTGCTGAGAATGTTAGGTTCCAGACCACTGAGAGGACACACAGTAATTCCACTCATATACCGTAAACTACCGATTATAAGCCCTGGGCTTATTCAACTTCATCAGGGGCTTTTGATGGGCTTACTAATGGAGGGGCCTATATCCAGGTGGGCTTATAAGAGGGAATAAAACAACAACTGTTGCATAATGGACCTCAGCAGTGTTGATCCAAATACTGTCGTTTTTCATAATTATACTGGCCTATACTAGTTTTCAATAAGGTTTTAAAACATACCCTATGGGCCTATAACCAAGGGGTGGGAGGGCTTGTAAGTAGCAGTTGACGATTACAAATCATTCTAACAAACAGAAGTTTGATTCTTATAGATTAAGTGTAAGCTGGCATTGTGTACAGTAACAAGTTGCTTAGGTTAACTTCATTCAGACTTCATTTGTTTTCTTAACATGTGCCCACATAGCTTTAGTTTTGTTTTTCAACTTGAAGCGTATGGTTCTGTCCCCATTTTACTTTTTTCCATCTATCATGGTACGCAACGCGTAGTCTGGCAGTATGTTTGTCAAGACAAGCTAAGCAAAGGAAAAGAACTACTGCAATTTAGGATAGGCACAAACTAAGGATTGAAACTGGTAGATATGATCCAATTCCAAGGGTTAACAGACTCTGTCCTATTTGTGAATCTAATCAAATTGAAGACAAATCTCACTTTCTTATATATTGCAAAAAAATACTCTAATCTAAGAGATTAATTTTATAGAAAAATAGAATATATCATTGTGACTTTTCAACAATAATCTTCATTGCAAGCCATCACCAAACTTATGACTTTTACAAATTATTATTAATATTCAATTGACAAAATTCATTTCATCTTGCTGTCATCTACGTAATATTCCTCTTTCGATTCAAATCCATGTAATTTGATTGCTATATTATAACCTTATTGTATTTTCATTAAAAACATTACTGTTTTAGTTTTAGTTTTCAAAAGCTCTTGCAACACTTTATGTATTTATGGTCATACAAATAAAGCAAGTTGTTGTTGTTATAGAACTGATGGCACCAATCATTATAATTATTGTCTACATGCTTTCAGATGTTCAGGAAATTATTAATTTGTGAATGATCAGTTAATTAATCGATTTAGATTTTTCAACTTTCAGATGAGGAGACTAAAAAAACTAATTGCAACAACTGACTTCACCTGGTACCAGATTCATTTTCTCTAGCAGTACCAAGAGAGAAAACAGAAATATACCTCAACCAAATTTGTTTTACGAATCCAGTTGCTTTCGATGCTGCAAATTGCAAAACCAGATGAAACATTTACAATGACTCAAAGTTTTTTTGATTCATGTAAGATAAAGATCCTCTTATGTACTGTAAGCATGAATTAGCTTGCTCGGCTGCCTGGCTGTTCGAGTTGTGCCACTGAGGAAACCATGAGAGGTTGTATGCCTCAGAGCAACCTAACAAGAGAAAATAGCAACTGCTCAGTTCAATGACACAATCTCTAAGCCAGTGTTTGAGATGCTGGAATTTTGTTTCCAAAAGAATTTAACAATCTTTGATGACACCATCTACATGTATGATGTCCAGATGAAACAGATACACATAATGCTGAGGAATCTTTCGCTTTGTTCATGTAAATTCTAGCATATCAAATATGGTAATTATATTTAAATATGGTTTACCTGTGTGATCACGCCAGTGCAAACGATCTACAAGGAACTGAGCGTTCTTGAAGAAAACAGGATCCCAATTCAGGGAATAGGAATGCAAATTGCAAGCATTGCCATACACAATCAGGCGGGGTACTGAAAAATATGAACTTTACCATTATTTAGTAATTTTAATTAAAAGAATGTCTCTTTGTAAAACAATGCAGCAGATTTATTTTTACCATGCACAG